CTAATATCCTAATTATATAAATATAATTATCTTCTACTGTTCCAGAGAACTCATGTGCTCAAAATATGATTATCAGAAATTTCTGCAGTAACGAAACACAAATTAAACAATTAACAATACTTTGTGTGTTTCATTTACCGTTTCACATGTACACATAATAATTTTTGTGAACAAAAATTGTATACACAAATAATAAATTAAATATTTATACTAGCTGAAATATTTTCTGTTTTGATAATCACTTTAAAAAACAGCAGGCACTGTGATACTGCTTTAGAAATATTCCTCAGAGAAGGTGGCACAGCATATTTGAGAAAACTCCGGTAAAGCAATAAATTAAATTATTTTGGAAATTTTCCAACATATTTAATATATGATTAGGTAACTTGAAAAAAATTTAGAAAACATGCAAAATTCTAAGACATCTAATTGTTGAAGAACTCTATCACTGTCTACAGTTAATACTTCTTGATGTTACTTACTATAGGACAAATACTTGTTTTTTAATTTAACCTTCAACAAAACTTCAAAGTGAATTGAATGCATTACATAATTTTTGAAAGGAAGCCAAAAGCAAGAATAATACTGATATTTCCAAGAAAATATTCATTTTCCAGCATTAAAAAGAAATTCACAATCGCTTATTAAAAATTTAAATTATTTCCACTCCTCAGAGCAAGAATTTGATACCTGGATGTCAATGTCTCAAACAATATGTTCTTTAACACATCCATTTTAGCAAAAAGTCTCATTTGTCAAAATTGCTATATTTGAACAGTATTTCCTCAGAAGGCATTAAGAGTCTAGCAGCAAAATTCTCCCTGAGTTTAACATAGCTTCAGATTTTCCCCTCTATCACTACACTTATCAACCTGGCAGCTATGGCCAGAGCCATCTAGGAACAAGGAGCAAGCATGTAACCGTGCCCCTCTGTCAGTGCTTTCCATATTGTACCAGATAGCAAGAGAAAGAACTAACTTTAATGGGGCAAACTGATTTAAACTAAAGGAAGGAGTGCTTTGAGACATGGAAACTTCTAGCTCAGCGCAGAGGTAAGACTGGTCCTAGAAATAATGGCAGACTGGTTTAAAAAACAGGGCAAATAACAGAGACAGGACAGAACCAGCAGGGATGGTGATACCACATTCTGTTAGCCTATTTTTTTATAGAACATTTTCCTATGCAGTGCATGACTTGATAGGTGCAGTGGTGATGAATTAGTGCTGTGTAATGAAGAAGCTGCCATCCTTAAGAATCCTGCTTCATTTGTTGCACCAACTGGAGCCTAAGTACAAAACAAGCCAAGGAATTAAAGTAAAGGAAGATAATAGTAGTAATACTATGACAAAAAGTGGAGAATTGAGACTTTGATCCTTGTCATTGCATTATGCTAAGGAAGTCACAAGCAAAGTTTATAATGAAAGGTCACTTGTTTGGTGTTCGTCTTCCAAGCTTTCAACTTGAATCACACAGACTCTGAGTAGTGGAAGCACTGTGCACTGATTGCTGAATTAGATGTCAATGAATACGATATTTCGAAAACGTGAAGTGCTCGACAATGGTCTGTATTCTGGAAAGAGTCAGCAGAACACATCCCAGACAGCAACTCCGTGGGACAACTGAAGCACAGCAAACTGAACAAGATGAACACCTAAGTGTGTGTGAGTGTGCTTCATTTCAATCTCACTTTTGTCCAATCCACAAACATTAAATTAGAGGTAAAGTATCAATTCACTTCACTCGGAGTGTGGAAATAAATTCTTATTTGAGAATCACTCAGAGGTAATAAGCAATACTAGAGAAAAGTCAAAGAGGAAATGAACACTTCTATCATCATGGCAGGGTTTGTCTAACACAGAGAAGGCAGAACACAAGCCAAAACTCCAAGTCAAGTGAGGATAAATAAAATATTGCAGATTTAGTCAGTTAACAGCTGGATGCCTCTTCCCTCTAACAACTTAAGTATTAGGCATTAAGTCTAAGGTATTAAAAGCATCCATAGTGAAACAGAAAAAAAAAAAAAGAAAGAAATCCACTTGAGACAATTCCTTCCTTGCCAAAAATTAAAGAGGAACTAGACAATTAGTTCACAGGCCTCAGTTTTACGGTAGATGGCAAAAGAAATCCCTGGACTGTCATCTCTGCAGAGCATTGACTGTGGTTGAAGGCCCAAATACAGTACTGTAATTCAGTAAGTATTACAATTCACAAGACATCATCGTAAGAGGTCTTAAAAATGCATTTCAAGAAATATTAACAGAAATGTAATTAAAACTGGAAAATTAGTCCTGTTACCAAGACACTTTAAAATTTTCATTGTATGGAACAAATACCGAGCAAATAAAATGACTCTAACCACTCTTACCACAATAATCCTAACAGAATATTCTCCTTTAAGTTATTATTAGCTCTGAACCATAGGACCTTGCCAACACCTGCGTTACTATGAAAAGAAGTTATTCATTAGCAGCTGAGAGTGTAGCAGGGAGCAGTCATTTATAAAACGTGTTTGCTATCCATGTCAACTGCTTGGGAGTCTCTCAAAGCATATCTGGGACACGGAAATGTGAACACACACTGTAAGGACTATATATAAACATATATATATGTATATATTCCTTATATATATGTGTGTGTGTATATATTATATGTATCTGTCCTCACTGGTAAGCACAGTTCTGACAGGCTATGGCCTCTGGTATCCTCGATTGCTTTTCTTTCAGCAAACTAAGAGAGGGTGATAAGGCTTGAAGACAAATGGAGAAGAGAGTGAATGAGGAATTGCAGACATTGTACTTAGAGGTCTAATTAGAGTTAATTTATTTATTTATTTATTTTAATTGAAAACTGTGTTGCACAGTAATCACACATCCAGTTACATTAACCTCTTCCACTTCACTCCCAACACCAGGCACCAAGCTTCTGCGCCAGCTTTTTATCTGCTCAGATCAGGTAACAGAACTTGCAAAGTAACTCTTTGTTAGGCTGGCGTAGTCAGCCCCCTCCAGAAAAAGACACCTATTTAAACTAAGTGACTGTTGATTAAGGTCATTTTAAGTTAGAAAGTAGTCAGACAATCTGTTAGCTTACACATCTGAGGGGATATACATTGTAGGCAGCTGGAAGTGTTAGGGCTGGAAATCACTTAAACATCTCAGCTACAATGGAAAAGAAATGCAGGGGGAACATTAACTGACTTTGGAACATATCTTTAAATACTAAAACAGTCTTGAACAATGATGAAGTACAGGTTTAGAAGCATTTTAGAATGATCCTCAAAAATTTGCTCCTGAATCAGGTAAACAGCGAGGCTCTCTCTTATATCTGCTTTATCAATAGCTTGTATTAGCAAGCTTACATGAAAGATAAATAGCGGAACTGAGACACTATTAGCCTTCCATAACAGAGATGCATTCATAACTTCCCTGAAGGTGGAAGCTTTTAACCTGTAGTCCCCACATCTCAAAAATAATCCATTATTAACCTAGCACACAGGTTCAACTTTTCAATTCTTTTAAGCAGCCTCCTTTATACTTTCTCCTTTTTTCCATATGTATAAATATAAATACATATATAAATATATATATATAAGTGTATCTTGGCTTCAGAAGCAAGAAACGTACTGGTGGAGGTAGAAACGTGTCTTTGTAATGCTCATCCTATGAGATTCAGAAAGAATTTGAAATTAACTGTAACACTTTTCTGTCTGAAGTCAAAATCAATGAACTTCCAAGACTGGCAACATACCTCAAGTACTGGATAAGCAACACAAGGTTCAAAATCTAAATATAGCTTAATTCCACTCTAATTATATACAAACATGACTTTAAGGAAGATTAATACTAAGCCAGAAGGGGTTAGCTAGTTTCTCTCTCAATTGTAAGTATTTATGATATACATTAAATAACGAAGTCTCAAAATTGAAGACTGTTACTTAGCAAGGTCTTTCTAATAATCTCAGTGGTACAAATCTCTATCACTGGATAAACCTTGCCACTTTTTAAGTTTATTGCTATGTTTTTTTTCCTTTGGTCTGCTACAGCACATCAAAACTCACATACAGGTACTATTGATCTTTATCCCCTTCATCACTATTTTGTACAGTCCTAAATTGCCTCTAGAGTGTTTGAACATGTTTTGTTTGTTTGTTGTAAAAAAAGATCTTTTTAAGGACATTTACTCCTTTCTGATAGATTTATTTTAAGTACAGCAAAAAAATATAATTATGTATGGTTATCTTGTACTTTAGTATGTAACATGATAAAATTTGCTATCTTTGCAAAAAAAAAAAACCTCTTAATTTTTTTTACTACATGTGGTCCAGCATTACAAGATTAGCGGTCAGTGTCTCTGTACTGCTGTTCCTCTTTATAGACATAAGAAAAATATCCATCAGAAGCAAGTACAAGGGCTATTGACACAGTTTTCTTCAGGGACATTGATACAGTTAAATACTAGGTAAAGCAAACAAACATCAAAGGAGCAGCTGGAAACGGGACACTACATCCCACTCACTTATATTACACTTAACTCCACAGCTGATCTAAAAACTGTTCCATGACAGTCCATGACAGAAGCTCTGAAGTAATCTCTCAAATAATTCCATAATTTGAAGAGAAGTGAATTGTACATGTTTATGTCAGTTAAATTCTGTTCATCTCTAAGTACTGGAGCTAAACTAGCTAAACAAATATTCAAATAAAAAGATTATTATTTTGGAGTTGACATAACCACATAGCCACCTCTAGCGCATTTATTTTTATTTTTTTAAAGAGGGATACCAGATTAGTGCTTCTTTGTCGCTGCTGTTGTTCTAAAATTTGACAGATTTCCAGTTTTGGTCCCTACCACAACCACAGCTCAGTTTTTACCATTTGACTGTTTCATCCAGTATCTCCGTATGTGAATATCAGTATATGAAGAACTAAAATATCCCTGGAGCCCCATAACTATCCAAAAACAAGCACATTAGAAACAAAACAAAACAAAATAGTACCTACCTTTATTCTATGAAATCGAACAATATCTCCGATTTTGTAGATTTTTGGTAGAGAATCCAGATTTCCATTAAAAAGAGTGCATGTTAACTTCGCATTTGATTGGTCCACAAGCGTTACCACTGAGCAATAATCTGTAAAATACAGAAGTGTTTGAATGAGTAACAAACATGATGGAAGTTATTAGTACACTCTTGTTAAAGTTGGGATGAGCAAACATATGGACAATTTTTTTTCTGCTAAAATCTGTGTAACTGTTCTGAAGTCAATACAGTTAAAGCCGTGTAACAACTGAAGTGTGGCCCATCTTGCAAATAATTAGCTCAAATATCTGAAAATAAAATGGGTGATTAAGGACAGGGGCCAGGAAGACACAAAGCTTTTTCTCTGTCTTCAAAAAACATGCTATATTTTCAGATTTCAACTTCTTTAGAAAAAGGAAGACGTGTTATGCCTACTTGTCCAATCCTTTCTAAAGATTTTTATACACGTTGTCTTCTGAAGAGGCAATGAGTTCTACAAGTTCTAAGAGGAAATTAAAGTGTAAGTTACTCATCTTTCACTTCACCCAAAATACACAAGCAAGATATATTCTCCAAGGATACAGTCACACAGTGATTGTTAGGAAGTATAGTAAGAAACTGAAATGTGTCCTTTTAAATGTAAACTTTTGTAACAGAATTTAACTTTTATTAATGATCTAAAAAATCAAATTCAAAACAAGGTATGACAAAATATATTGGAGCAAAACCGCCCAGAATAGGTCAGAATTTGCAGGTGTCATAAAACAAAACTCCATTTCAGGTTACAGAAGCATGTGTGTTTTGATATTTCACAAATGTAAAATGAAGTGAGAGTGCAATTGATTTTTCATGGTACAGTAGCTGGTTAATCTTCCTGAGAACTTTTCGAACAACCAATATCAACTCAGGTGTATGTTCAGAACCCCAAACATGTATAAATCTGGTCATAGTTAATCAAGACAACAGTGTGTTTTTCTTTTGGATACTTATTATACTAGCATTTACTGAAACTTAACAGTTCAGAGCTAAAACACAACTTTTTAAGCAGATAAACAGAATAATGACGTCATAGCCTATTATTTTTTAACTTGATATCAACTACTAACAACTACACATTTAGGTACACATAATTTTGGCTTGAAGAAAGTTAGCACAGATACTCAAGTAAAAATCACAATTTTTAGGCATTAAATTAACACTACTCAGTCATTTACAAAAACTTCTATAGTTTGAACTCTAAATTTTGAGATGAAAGGGGAGTGGAGAAAAGGAAGGGAAAAGGAGATGTGTCTGGAGTGAAATTGAGCCTGGGAAAGGTGGAAGAGAGATGTTTTCCATAAACACTTAAACGCTTGTCTTCTTTCTTCTTCAACACCTGAATTAATAATTAAATGTTTATGTTCATTGCTAATGAATTAAATTCCCCAAGTGAAGTTTGTTTTGCCTACAACTCTAGAACGGGGAAAAAAAGGCAAACAAACTCCCCTTAGCTATAATACTACAAGGCAGTTAGCAATTATGACACCAGAGTTTGCTTGTTCAGGAACTGAACAAAGATGTTGTAACACTAAAAGAAAGTTGATAAAATCTCAATTTTTCACTTTGTACAAGCACAGAAACATAAATAATTGCTACTAGACAGCTTTGAGAAAGAGAATACTATCAGTCTACTAAAACTGACAGATTTGTATCATCTAAAAAGTATAGCAAGGCAAAATTGTCATACGTAAACTCACAGTGAAAGATTCCCCAAAGCTGAAGATGATGGATGTGTTAGACTAGATTAGAATACATGCTTGTATGTACACTGACTACACCTTTAAAAGAAATACTGCTGTTTCCAGCAAATATATCACTAAATCTTACTACCATTTAAACTTAAAAGCTTAAATTCTCTAATGATTTGAATGGCAGAAGTGTTCAAAAAAAAAAAAAAAAAAGAAATACAGTGAAGGGTTACTAAGAAAATACAAAATATTTTTCCTACAGAAATAAAAACTGCAATATTTCCAAAAAAATGTTTCATCCTCTGAAATATTATTACACACTTGATAAATTCTAATCTCTTGCATTTCAAAGATGCTAAACATCATTCTTTTTCACACTACCACAGAAGACACAAGGTCAGTTTCATGTATCACCTAATCTGACATTCTGTGCTAGGATAAGCAGATATGAAAACAGCTGACATGAAACTGCAAGCATATACTACTGCAATCCAAAGAGGGATTGTTTTATTTCTCTGGGTAATAACTGTTCAGATACACAGTGACAGGGGCAAAATAAAGAAGAAAAACATATCATTCACAGATTTACAACTCCACCAAGACATGGGATAACACATTACAGTGCATTGATATAACCCAACATAGAAATTTGGAGTAACCTAAAACCACATTAAAATCATTGTTGCTCTTTGCTGCTGTGATTATATAATCTAGTCAGCTTCATACATGTGCAGCTGCCAATTTAAGGAGGAAAAAAATCAACACACTTGTATATTCTGTGCAATTCGCGTACTCAAACACCAATATTCCTCCTACCCAAAGTATTATAAAATATTATACTTCACACCTTCTACACAGTACAGGCTCTCTTACTTCTGTGATTACACAATTCCGTTCTTAACTATGACCTCAAAACATCACTTCTACAATAAACCTTATTAAAATAAAAGTCTTCAAAAACAAAGCATAAGACAGATTTTCTTTGAAGGAAATCCTCATCCAGCAAGTCCTTTTTGAAGGTGAAAAAATAAAAAGTCACCTGTCTTTCCTTTTCCAGGAGGAAGGTGAAAATTACTTTCTGCTTTCCAAAGCAGAATTATAGTTCAGTGATTGAATTCACTTTTCTGCACAAATGGTAAGTCAAACTCGAAACAGAACTGCTGAATTTAAATCACGTCCCAGTGTCAGAGGAAACAATATAAGAAATGTCATTCTTTAAACTTTTTTTTTTTTTTTCTCGTTACAATATACCTTCTAACGAAGAAAAATCCCTCAGTTACCAAACTACAAAAAAATGTTAATGGAAGTTTACATAGTGGGGACAATTTTCTTTTATTAGGCAAATGCACTCTTCTGATAATTTCTCTTAAGAGGGAAATTATCCATCAGAATCTTTTATTTATAATAATTTGGTTTAAAAGCATGACACTTAAGGAAGGCGAAAAGCAAAGAGCATGGCAACATCCTCCAGCCACTCAGGCTGGATCATCCTGTCCAAATGCTGGGCCCAGCCCAGCCACAGCAACTACTTTCCCCTTTGAGGGTCTGGCCTGTAGCAAAACTGAGCATCTATCCCAGAGGCACACAGACACAGGACACTGACATGACCATCCACGCTTCAACACCACCTCCACACAGGACTCACGTAAAACAGACGTAGACAGCAGAGACCCCTTCCTTCCCTCCAGCTGGTAAAGACAGAAGCTCACTAGTGAAGGTTCACACACAGCACTCTGCAGATTCACAACCACACGCACATTTGCGGATCCCTGAGTACTGGCACAGACCCTTTTATACCAGCCCTTTTCTACCTACCCACACACCTCTTTATTCCTTCTGCCCTCCCTTTCCCTTTTTTCCCCCATGGCTTTGCAGAGCTCTGACGTTTCTGCACCCTCCCAGTCCAGGGCTCCTTGGTTCACAATCTTACCAGCTGCAAGGTTCATCCTTCCTGGAAGTGACACCTGTAGTTTGTAAAGCCGCCAATTACTGTGACTGGGATGTTTGTTTCCTGTGGTTTTGTCCAAGCTTAGAAATCCTCAATCAGAATATAGTATAAATATAAATAAATATTCCTGTATTCTCACATACTTTCATAAATTAATGTGACTGACCAAACTGCACTGCATCCTTTCCTTATTATCCCTTCCTGCTTTGCAAAAAGGCCCTAAAGACCCTTAAAGAAGCAGACACTCCTTATAAATACCCTTACAGACACAATAGATGTAAAGTTCAGCGCATTTATCTACTATAAAGGGAAGTTTTTACACTTTAAAATGCTTTATCTTGCTTGATTAAACACCTCCCTATTTGGAGATATTTAAAAGCCATCCGGAGATGGTCCTGGGCCATCAGCTTTAGGTAGTCCTGCTTGAGCTTTATCTTGTGTTGGACAAGATAAACTCCAGAGGTCCCTTTCCACCCCTGCCGTTCTGGGGTTCTCAAAGAACTCTCTTAAGCATGAAAGGGAATATTGAACAATTCAGTTAATTTATTTAGTATGATTAAGTGCTAACTGGCTTGGAGTTTCATGATAAAAGCAAAACATTCTGGTATTTCTGACTGAAGTCCTTAATGAAAAAAAGCCACAGATACCTAAGATCAGATACATCAACTTTATATAGGATTAAACATAAATGCTTTCTCTCTGCAATTATAAGAATCATTGAAAAGCCAAAATCTCCTCAACTGTAATGACAACTCAGGGTCGCTCTTCAGATTCTAGTTTTCTTTTTAGAAAATGCCTGAGCATTTGCACTCTCCTGTGGACTGCTGCATTAGTCATGAGAATGCTCAGAAAGTCAGCACCTCTGGACAGAGTATACATATCAGAAAAAAATGAAGCTTCACTTGCAGTTTTTTCAGTCATCATAAGAAAACCAGAATTGCTGCAAAAGCTTTGCAGATTAATAGCTACTTACATGATAGGAAAGCATTCAGTACTTATTGATTAAATACTCTTATTTTGGTTTTATTTAGGACTTCAGCAGTTCACAACAAATATGCTTGTAGAAACAATTTTTAACACAGCAAGCACTGACTAAATTACAAATCCCATCTTGGGCAATCACATATGCATTCACTATCTTTTAAGTTAAAAAAAGCCACTATCCTGGATCAATAACTTCCTCCCACAAAGAGATAAAAAAAAAAATTGTTGGCAAGGAAGGACTTCAGAGATTGCCTTCTGCTTCTTACATTGCAATACTTAAAGATTTTAGTAGCAAACTACTCTCTTCAAAAGTACACCAATCATTAATACTGTTTTCAAGTATTACTGAGGCCAATCAATACACAGAAGTCTTTTTACTAAAACTAAGTAGCTGAACCAGCTAATTTACCAAATATGTTCAACAAAACACAAGGAGGAAAGTAACACACACT